GTTAATTGTATATCTATATATAGTATTCAAATCCGATGCTTTTAAATCATTTCAAATTAGATTTCTTAATCAGGCTTCAATGTGTTAAAAAGTTATTTCAAAACTATCATTGTGCCTAGAAAACTAGCGATAGTTTTTCTAGTTATCTGATATTCTAAAACTTTTTCCTATGTATTAAAATTGATGGTTGATTGAAGTTAGCTTAGTATCGAAATAACTCAAAAACATGGACCCTGATTCCTTAGGATCCATTCATTAATTACGTAAGATTCTATTTTGATCTTCTAAATAATAAAAATACGATATAATACACGGAAAAATGTGCTATAATTTTTTCTATAGAACTAAACATGGATAACAATAAAAACATATGAAATTTTAATAAGTTATTTTTTTTTAATAAGCAATAAAAATTATTTAAATAAAATAAAAATTCGACTGTACACTTTAAAATTAAGAAAACTATTTGGAATCCAAAATAGAATTAGATTTTAATATTGAATTTTGATTCACGAAATATTACGTAAGAATGAATTTCACCTCCCCCCCCCTCCCAACATAAGAACATGTAGAGATTTTCTTAATCCCCCCTCCCCCTCCCATTAATGAATGACCCCTTATTGGTTCAGAATTAGAGCGCGCGCGCGTATGCGCGCAATTTGAATTCCTAGTTTTAAAATAAATATTATACTTTTTTCGATAATTATATTTTGGAAATTTAATAAACGTTTTATTCTCACATAAATTATTTTATGCTAATTATTATCTAACTCCAATTACCTATACTATTTTATAATTATAATTTTATAATTTTTTTTGAATAATAAACTAGATCTAGAAAATAATTTATTAAAAATTGAACTTGTAATTTTTCAAAGATTCTAAAAGCAAAATTTTTTAAATAAATTTTTCTTGCTATAATTTATTATTAGTTGAAAAATTTCTAAAAGTAGTCTGATGTCATATAATTTATTATTATTTACTATATTTGTTTATATTTGGAATTATTAGACAACTTTAAAATATAATTATAATATATTAATTAATTACTATAAAAATAACCAATGGGAAGAAGAAGAGAGAAGTGAAGAAAGTGTAGATAAAAGACTCGACGAAAAATTTAGCAATAGAGAAATCTGGACAGCAATAAGAAAATTAGGGAACAATAAAGCACCAGGAGAGGATGGGATGGCAGCAGAATTTATAAAAAATACTACACCGGAAGTGGTAGCACAAATAAGAGAAGTGATGAATAAAATGTGGATGGAGGGTAATATGCCAGAAAGATGGGATACGGCAGTCATAGTGCCGCTGTATAAATCAGGGGATGAGGAATTGACAGGTAACTACGGGGGGGATATCGCTATTGGACTCAGGATATAAGCTACTAACAACGTTGATGACAGAAAGAAGAAACAGATGGATAGACAAGGAAAAAATAATACGGGAAAGCCAAGCCGGATTTAGAAAGAGAAGAGGAACTAGAGATCATATTTTTGTGTTAAGTAGGGTGATAAATAGAAGGTTAAAGGAAAAAAAGAAAATTGGCGGGACGGTGATAGGAAACAAGCGAATCTATGCGATGAAATACGCAGACGACGTAGCACTAGTAGCAGACTCAGAAGGGGAACTAAGAAGTATGCTGAGTGAACTAAGAAAATACACCAAAGAAAATAAGATGGAGGTAAATGTCGGAAAAACAAAGGTAATAGTATGCAGGAATGGTGGGAGAAAGAAAAGAGAAATAAAATGGATATATATGAAGGGGAAAAAATCGAGGAGGAAAGAGGTGAAATATCTAGGGTACTGGTTTACGACGAAGAACAGTGCGGCAAAGCAAAAAAAAGAGATAGCGAGAAAGGCACAACTAGCAATGAACGCGGTATGAGGTATAATAAAGAGAAACAGCATAAGGGAGAGGATATATTTGATGAATACGGTGGCGAAATCTGTAGCAATGTATGGGGTGGAAGTGTGGGGGTAGGAAAAATCGGAGGAGATTAGGAGGGTGCATAGAATGTTGTGCAAGATGGTTCTAGGAGTAAGCAGGGATACACCAGGGTATATATGGAGGGAAGAAACGGGAGCAGAGGATACAAAAATGACACTAAAAGAGAGAGCAGTACGATACATAAAGAACGTGATCAAAATGGACAGGGAAAGATGGCTACGGATAGTAATGAAAGAGGAAATGAGAGGTATCTAATAATTTTTTCTCGCATATTCTATAAACTCACATTAAGATGATCCTCTCTACAATCCTTTCTCAATCCTTTCCTACCAATTATCCTGTTACGTGAATGTTGGAACGCTTCACGTAATAATTATTCGTAACTCCTATTCTTTCCCGCTTCACAGCATTATTTATATTTGTTAGGGGTATACTCAACGGTATTTGTCAGAGGTATACTCAACGGTAGAGTAACAAAATTGGGTAAAGAAGTGAAAAAAATTCTAGTAAAAATGGGCTGTGATGTATAGTAGTCAGGATGATATATAAAGAGCAAGAAATAGAAGAAATAGAAAAAAAAACTCGATGAAGGGATAATGCGGATAAAAGAAATAGCAAAAAAAGAAAATGAGGAGGCGATAGAGAAGTCAACATATTGCAAATTATATAGGAAAATAAAAATAAACCAAGACGAAAATTACTATTGGAAAAAAGATCAAATAAGAGGGGAAGATAAGGAAGTCTGGGCGAGGGTACGGTGTAGAAACATAGGGAGAGAGGAAAAAAGGGATATAAGGATTGGAGATGCAGAGTATGTGAAAGGGAAGAAGAAACACTGATGTACATGATGAAATGTAAAAAAATATACGAAAAAGTAGGAGAAGAAGAAAAGAGTTTCTCCAATGAATGGAAAGAGTTAGAAAATGAAAAGATAGAAGAAATATTAATAGAAGTACTAAAAGGAAGAATAGACGGGAGAGCATGCACGGTCTTCAGAAAAATTGAAGAGATCCTAAAGAAAAATACAGGATTGCGGAGTTTAAAACAAAAGAAAGATAGAAAGATTAAATGAAAAAAAAAATAATATATAGTATTAATATATAGAAGTAAAATATGTGAAAACTTTGTAAAAGACGAAAGTCGTGCAAATAAAACTCTTTATTATTATATTATCAATTACTATATGTATATAAGTAAAAAAATTTTTCAAATTTTCTACATGTAAAATTTTTTTCTTTTAATTTTTTTTTAATAAAGAAAATATAAAAATTTTCATGAAAAAAATCAATTAAAAAATATCTACAGACAAATTTTTACATTTCTACATATTTTATTTGATTTAATAATTGAAAAATAACAAATATGGTTTTACCGTTTGTATTAAATTCGATAAAAAAGACAAAAGTTTTTAGTAAATACAAAAAATTTGTTTTGCAGTAAATTTCCAAAAGACTTTTATGACGTAGTACTTCGAAAAGTTATATAAAGTAATACTATGATAAATAAATTCTGACGAAACATTTATTTATTTTTTACCAATGACTTATTTTTAGATCTTCTAAAAACATTAAATAATGCGGAACAATTTTTAAAAAAAATAAGACAATAAAAAGTATGTGAATAAATATTTGCATTAGATGCATGTATTATACTTTTTCTTTATGAAAGCAGATAAAGTTACCTGGGTTTATTTGAAAATAAAACATCCTTGAACGAAATTGCAATAATAATACAACAATAAATGTCTGGTGGGTATTGTTTTTACAGCATGTATATGTTATTAAAAAAACCCATAGGGGTATATAAAGCCGTCGATAATCAATTAAAGGTACAAGTAGTGTCACAGCTATAAACAATTTCTTGTTTTTAAATTTTCCAAACTCTCAAAATCTTTATCATGAAGGGTACAAAGAGTCTTACTTAATTAAATAATTTATCAAGTATATTGTTTCTTTAATATAACTTTTTAATTCCAGCTTTCTTTATCCTCGCCGCCCTTTTGGTTGCTGTCTCAGCTAGCCCATTGTTGGACGACTTACTTTCTAGTATTAGTGGAGGTAGTAAGTAATATTAATCATTATATACTTAGTTTAATCTGATAAACATGAAAATTAATTAATTTAGCAGATATTCAATAATTTTAAGAATTTTTTTAGCAAATAAATTGTGACAAACAAAAATTAGAGAAAAAAATTGAGATGTAGAAATTAAAAAAAATAAAAAATTCAATTTTTTTTTGAATAATTTTTCAAGACAAATTTGTTTGTTAAAAAAAATCTTCAAGATTGCTAACTTTAATTTCATATGATAAATAGGTGACGGCGGTGTGGGATCACTCCTTGGTGGCCAGACCGTACCCTTACTTGGCTCAGGATCTGCAGCTAAATCAGCTGCTGGAGCAAGTTCTGATGCTGCTTCTAGTGCAAACGGCTTAGGTGGTTCAAGTAGCACTTCTTCTGCCAAATCTGCTGCAAGCGCGGCATCACAATCTGGTGCAGCAAGCTCTTAAAAAGTTATTTTAAAACTATTATTGTATCCAGAAAACCAGCGATAGTTTTTCTAGCTTTCTAATTTTCTAAAAATTTTTTTTTAAATGAATATTCTACTTTTTTCGATAATAATTATATTTCAGAAATTCAATAAACGTTTTATTCTCACATAAATTATTTTGTGCTATTTATTATCTTACTCCAATTATCTAAACTATTTTATAATAATTTTTTAATTTTTCTTCAATAATTAACTAGGCCTAGAAAATAATTTATTCAAAATCGTACTTGTAATTTTTTAAATATTCTAAAGGTGGAATTTTTAAAATAAATTTTATTTAGTTAAAAAATTTTTAAAAATAGTCTAATGTCATATAATTGATTATTATTTACTATTTGTTTATATTTGAAATTATCACACAACTTTAAAATATATTTATATTTATTTTGTAGTTAAAAGTATTATCGCTTTTGATAAGTTAACTCTACGATAAAATTTTTGTAAGTGGACACTGACCCCCACTACTTGATCCGTTAGACCGCAGTAATTAAATAAGAACTGTTATTGTCATCAGAGTCACGACTCGTCGCCAGTAACAGATAGTTGTCTATTATCTGTGTGGATATTCTATGGAATAAATTATACTAAAATAAACTTTAATATAATCATTTATACTCAGTTACTCCAAGCGTTTGCAATTCATTTGATAATGCTCACATTTTTTATTATTTCTTTGTCGCTAACTCTTGGAGTTTTTTTAAACAATGTTGCTGGTGATTCTCCAGCAATTTACGAGCAGGATAAAATAAATGTACGTATTTATAATTACTATTTTATAATTAAAAATGTTTTCAAGTTTTTTTTTTTTATTCAATACTATATAACAAGTAGAGATTAAATAGATAAAATACTGTGATTATAGTTCTAAGATTATTTCTGAGAAATTAAACAAAAATATTATTGATAAAAATTATTGATAATAATTTTCCGATCAGTGATAATTGAAATTTTTATTATGGTACTAAAATTGAGAGATATCTGATAAATTTTAGATACTTTTTAACGAATAAATAATAATAAGAAAAATTAATTAAAAAAATTCCATCTTTAGAATTTCTAAAAAATTATAAATGCAATTTTTTCTATAATTTTCTAGACCTAGTTTATTATTAAAAAAAAATTGAAAAGCTGTCAAATGTCTGCTAATTTTAAAATAATTTTTTATTTTATTATTTTTTAAGGGAACTGTTCCATCTCAACGTTACAGTTTTGAAGTTGACTATGAAAATAATGAGTTTTTATTAGATGGAAGGCCATTTCGATATGTATCGGGAAGTTTTCACTATTTCCGAACGCCAAGAGCTTACTGGAGAGATAGGCTAAGAAAAATTCGTGCCGCTGGTCTAAATGCCATTTCTACGTCAGTAATTAATTATACTTTTCATTTTAAAAAAACTTAAGAAAGTAAAAATAATTGAATATTCTTTTACAGTTATGTCGAATGGAGTCTTCATCAACCAAAGCCAAATGTTTGGCACTGGACGGGCGAAGCTGACATAGTTTCTTTTCTAACAATGGCCCAAGAAGAAGACCTGTTCGTTTTATTGAGACCTGGGCCTTATATTTGCGCTGAGCGAGACTTGGTTAATATTTAAAAACTATAAAATTGTATTAATTATATTAATTTAAATGAGACTTATTTTAGGGAGGATTACCACCGTGGTTGATGAGCCTTGTTCCCGACATTCAAATGCGTACCAACGACCAGCGCTACATGCGATACGTCGAAATATACTTCAACGAGCTTTTCAGTAAAATAAAGCACTTGCTCAGAGGAAATGGAGGCCCGATAATTATGGTCCAGGTAAAATTCATTTTTATCTCACTTTTAGAATAATTTACAGTAAAATTGATAAAAAATTAATGATCAAGGTGGATGAAAATTAATTTAGCAGATATTTAAAATTTTTTTAACAAATAAATTATGTCGAAGAAAATGAGAAAAAAAAAATTGACAATTAGAAAATTAAAAAAATAAAAAATGAAATTTTTTAGAAATAATTTTTCGCAGTAAATTTATTTATTAAAAAATGATCAAGTGACTACTAACATTAATGTCATTCAAGGTGGAAAATGAGTATGGAAGTTTTCCGGCATGTGATTTGCGGTACAAAGAAAATTTACGGGACATACTTTTACGAAATGTCCAATCGAAAGCTCTTTTGTACACAACAGATGGAATATATGAAAAAGCTTTGAGGTGTGGGGTAGTTTCTGGCGCTTACGCAACTATTGACTTTGGTGCCTCAACAAATGTGTTGAGCAATTTTGAATTAATGAGAAAGTATCAACCAAGCGTAAGTATTTTAATGAATTTTATTAATTTTATTTTTTAAATTTAATAATGTACACTGAAAAAAAAATTGACCTGAATCAAGATGAAAAATTCTTGAATCAAGTAAAAATTACTTAAACTAAGAAAAATTTCTTAGGGTCCGCTTGTTAACTCTGAATATTATTCCGGATGGTTGACTCACTGGGAAGAATCATTCCAGAGAGTCGAAACAGGAATTTTTGTAAATACATTGAAGCAAATGTTGGCATTGAATGCTTCTGTTAATATTTACATGTTTTATGGTGGGACCAATTTTGGATTTACAGCAGGTATATTATTATTAATAATAAATCATTTATTCATCAATCTGATTGAATTAAATTTAAAATTAGGAGCAAACGGAGGCGATAAATATTGGCCTCAAATAACCTCTTATGATTACGACGCACCTCTCACAGAAGCCGGTGATCCAACAGATAAATATTTCGCAATACGCAAAGCGCTCTCAGAGGTATAATTTCGATTAATTATCATATAATCTCATTTTCAATCACAATTTAAATATATGTCATTTAATAAAATAAAATTCATTTATTTGTTCAAGTTTTTTATGCTGCCAAATTTGCCGCTGCCGACGGTCTCGCCGAAAGGCAATTACGGGTCTATTCTTCTTGACCCAATAATGCCGCTGTTTGGCAGAGAAGCTCAACAATTGTTTGCTTTTTCCGTTGCTGATTACTCAATGACACCCCCGACGTTTGAAAAACTCCAGCAGTCTTATGGGTTTGTTCTTTATGAAACCCATTACAGCCCCCGAAGCAGAGATCCATCGATATTGAGAGCTGACGTCGCTGACCGGGGACTGGTTTATGTCGACGACTACCTTTCTGGTTCCCTGAGCCGCACGCTCAAAATAGACAATGTTGTTTTGCAAAATCCCTACGGAAAAAGTCTTAAAATACTCGTTGAAAACCAAGGACACCTCAATTTTGGAAATATCATTCAAGATTGGAAGGTACTTTTGTGAATATTATATTTTTTCAGAATATTTTTACACCATTAAATATTTTCAGGGGATTTTTAATGTTACGATAAACAATGAGAGGATTATCAACTGGAATGCGACTGGATTTCCTTTGGACACTATGCCGTCTATGAAAAACTTTAGCAATATTGAAATTCCGACTGGAAATCTGGTCAATGGTCCTGTATTTCTTCGCTCGACATTCATAATAAAGAATAATCCACCACTAGACACCTATCTGAACACCGCTGGTTGGGGTAAAGGAGTTGCTTTTCTGAATGGACATAATCTGGGACGGTACTGGCCACAAACTGGTCCTCAGGTCACCCTCTATGTACCTGGAGTATTTTTGAAGACTGGAGAAAATGAGCTGGTTATTTTGGAACTTGAGTACGTGGCGGATAATATGAAAATGAAGTTCCAAACTGTCGCTGATTTGGGATTTACTCAAAATTATACTCTAAAAATTCAACCTGATAATAATTAATTTTTTTGTTTTTTTTTTTTTTTTTTTTTTTATATTACATCTTAAATAAGTTTTATGTAAGTTTGATAAATATATGAAGGTATATTTGAACAATAATAATTAAATTTAATCTTAATCGTTATTCAATCAATTTCTTTTGTTTTCAGTAAAAATAAATCGCGGTATTGATAAAATAAAAAAAAGTAGCCTAAAAAATAATATGTCATTTTTATTTAAAATGTTATATTAACAACTAAACAAATTGGTTTTAAATTTAATAAATAAACATTTATCAATATATTCATACAGTGTAAAGATAAAACGATGCGTTGGCCCATATTGAGTAAGAACTGTCTGCATTAATCGTATGAATATTAATATTATATATTGAAAAATGTAATATCTCTTTTGGGTTACGGTAAGAAGCAATCGATTCGCTTCATTACTCGTCAGGTCTGTAATACTTGCTTAACATTTTTTCGGGTTTGTCTGCAAAGTTTTTTAAATTTAACTTCTCATAATTAATTTTTCCAAGATGGGAAAAAAACGTACGTATCTAATTAATTAATAAATTAAGAAGAAATAATCTTAGATTTATTGATTTATTTTATTAAATATTTTTAGTCTTCATAACGGCTGCTACGTTGGCACTGGTAGCAGTATACGTCGGCGTTTATTACGATTTAAATACTTTGCCGAAAAATTTTACTTGGATCACATCTTTTTGTAGCAGTAGTAAAAAATCAGCAGATGAAGCTATCGTCACCGATAAAAAAACGCAATTTGAAAAAGGTAAGAAAATATTTTTTATTTTTTTAGTATTAATATTTAATTTTTTTTAAATAATAATAATAATAATAATAATAATGTGTTTGTTTTTTAATTTAGATAAAGTTGCTAAAACTGTGAAGATAGAGAAAAAAATAGAGAAGACTAATGAAAAACCTGTTGAGGTAAAGAAAAGTGAACCAGTAAAACAAGAAGTTAACAAAAAGGTGGAAAGAAGCGCTGATGCGACAGCTCCTTCTAAAGTGGTGAAGAATAAAATACCAGCACCGAAAAAAGAAGAAAAAAAACCGGAAGTTCCGAAACCAAGTCCTACAGTTACTGATAATGTAGTGAAACCTGTCGTCTCAGATAAAATTGAATCTAAACCGACGGTTACTGATAATGTAGTGAAGCCTGTTATCTCAGATAATGTTCAGCCGAAACCAAGTGTTGATAGTCCGCCTAAATTTGACAATGTAGTGAAGACTGGCTGTCCCATGAACAAAGATAAAAACGTAAATCATAATGTTAATGTTGACAGTAAATTTGATAACAAAATTAACAACAATGTTAATACTAACAATAATAACAACGTTATTAACAAGGTACAAAATAATAATTTTGATAACAATCTTAATAATAAAAATTTAAATAATAATAATAATAATATAAATAATAATTTAAATGAAAACGTTAATAATAATGATAAATTCAATAATAATAATAATAACAAAAATAACTTTAATAATAACAATAATTTAAATACCAACAATAATAACGTTAATAAGGTCGATAATAATAATAATAATAATAACAACAATAACAATAATTTGAAGAATGTTGATGTCAACAACAACAATAATAACTTCAATAACGTTGACAATAAAAACAATAATAATAATAATTTTAATAACGTAGATAATAACAACAATAATAACGTAAAGACCAACAACAATAATTTTAATAACGTCGATAGTAAAAATAACAATAATTTCAACAATAATTTGAATACCAACAATAACAACGTAGATAAAACCAACAACTTTGATAACAAAAATAATTTCAACCCCAACAACAATAATATTAATAACAACAACTTGAATATTAACATGGATAACAAGAACAATAACAACAACAACAATAATAATAATAATAATCATCGGAATAACAACAATAACCAAATTAACGAGAATAAAAATTTTAACAACAATAATAACAACGTAAATAATAATAATAACGAAAATATAAATTTAAACAACAATAATAATGCAAATACCCATAACAACAAAAATAAAAATTTTAACAATAACAATAATAATGCAAATACCAATCACAACGAAAATAAAAATTTTAACAACAACAACAACAATAATAATGTAAATACCCATAACGAAAATAATAATTTGAACAACAACAATAATAATGTAAATACCAATTACAACGAAAATAAAAATTCAAACAATAATAACAATAATGAATATAGAAATGTCAACAACAATAACAATAATAATTTTGTTAAAACCAACTAAAGGATGATGATTAAGTTGAAAATATTTTAAATGAATATCAATCAAGTGATAGTTCAGTCTAGGAAAGAAATATGTGTAACAAAGTAAGTTACAAAAGAAATATAATTTTTCTAATCTCGCTTAATCATTATTTATTGTTCAAAATTTACGAATAGTTCCATATGTGCGCACACTTGAAACACAAAAATAAACGTTTTTTATATTTATTCTTTTTTTTCTATATTTCTTTAATAATAAAAATTATTATTCCATTTATCTTTCTTATCTCTTAATTACTTTAGTTTTATAATTAATTTAATAATTATCATATTGACTAAGTAATACTGAAAGTAAAACTAATCGTAAAAAACGATATGTAAGTCAGTATAATGATTGTAAATTTAAAGCGAATAAATTAACTATCGAAATACAAAATTAATGAAAATTATATTTTATTAAATTGAAAATAAACTCAAAACTTTACCTTACATTATTTTATAAAAAGAAAATTTCTCAACTTTAATCAGTTGGTTTTGTTTCCGTCTCAACAACTTGATCCTCCTTAGCACTATCTTCAACCTCCTTAACATTATCATCAACCGGAAGCTCGCTTTTATCAACCAGCTTCTCTTTTTTTTGAGACTCCTTGAGATCTTCAGCCTCTTGTTTAGCCAAAGCATGATAAGAGGCCGTCTGAGCCGATTGAGTTTCCGCTGATGTGTCTTGTTTTAAAATTTCTCTTAAAGCCATAGTAGCGTAGGTTGAGGATTTCAGTGACATCTCTAATACCAAAGCTTTGTATTTACCCTCTATAAAAAAAAAAAAACCATTGTAATAAATAAAATAAAAAAAAAGGCCATTCGGTAGCCGAAATGGAAGTAGATTTTTTAAATAAAGAAAATTGATTTTTAATAAAAAAAAAATACAAATACTTATAATATATAACTTAATTCATGAATTAAAAACAAAATTCAATAATAAATTTAAAACTATTTAGAACAAATTTTGGAAAAAATTATCTTATGAAGAAAAAGTTTCTCAAATATTTATCGAACAATTGCAAAGATTATAAGATTTGAATTATAAATGTCCAAATTTTAAGTAACTGCTTACGAACAACAATTTCCAAGTTAATCAGAATTTTGAAACCGGATAAAATTTTAATTGAAGAAAACAATATTTAGAACTAATTTGTGACATATTTACTGACGACCTACCCGAAAACATTACACGAAAGACTGATCAATATCGTGATTATTGAATTTAGATCATAATTAAGCTATGATGCAGACAATAATTCTAAAACGGCTGCAACAGTAAAACTATTTCATTAAACGAACTCTAAAAGGAGTAATATTGAGGCTATTACCACTTCTGAGTAGTGAAAATTAAAGCTTATTAAAAGAGCTTTACGATGCATTTTACTGAATTTTAATAACTTATCTAGTTCAGTAATTATACCAAGTTGAAGTAGTAAAAACAGCAATTTTTATGATTTTAAAAATTTCAAAATCCTGTAATATTCAAATTACTCGCCCGATTAAGCTCATCTTCGAACTTAACCTTGGTCTTGATAGATAGCTAAAGCATGTTGAGTTTGAAAAGAATCGGTTATAAATTGAAAATGCTATCGTGCTGACAAGCCGCGTTATATCGTATAAATATATATATATATATAAACTTTTAAACGAACTACATTTTCTGACTCAGCTCGACAAATTGAGTCAGAAAATCGCTAAATTTTTTAAAAGTTGCGCCATGAGGACGGCTGCAATAGTTAGATTTTTATAAAATCTACTAAAAATAAATATATGACGATCTAATAAAACAAAAAAAAAATGGGTACCTGAATTTTTAATTATTAACTCCTTGTCTTGCATTTCATCAAAATCAGATCGGATTAAATCACAGCTAATATCATCATACTGGACAACTCTCCATGATAAACCTTCTGGGACTTGAACTATCTTCCTGTAGGCTCCACCCAACGAAAACCTTCTATTCTTATTTTGCAAGTCTAAGCTCAAGCCGTCTTTGGCCATGAACTCTTCGTACCAATCTTTAGCATACGTCGGGTAAGTAACCTTGTACCCAGGTTGAGGCATAACGACATCAGCGAGTGTGTAATTAGCCAAGTCTTCTTCAGCTAGAACTTTGACAGCCGGTAGTGGTTTTTTGTCTTTTTCTAGTTCTTGATCTTTACCATTATCGATTGGTTCTTCTTTTGACTCGTCATTTTCATCTACACTTTCTTCAACTTCGATTTCAACTTCTACTTTGTCTGCGACTGAATCAGAAGCGTAAACAAGATCGCCAACAATAGGTTTACGACCAAACTCTTTAATCCTGCGACTGACCATATTATTCCACACCAAACTCTGATAAGAATGTATGTACATCAACAGAGTGTTTCTTGGTATAGAGTCTAGAGCATTTTGTGGGCTGTTTGGTCCGTTTGCTGCAATTCCTTGCAACAGTTTCGCCTCTATTTTGTCCGGTTTCTGAATAAGCTTCAAGGCTTGCTTCGCATCTTTAGTCTTCTCGTAGCATTCACGCGCTTCAGCCATATCTCGATAATCATTATCCCGCGGCTTCAATAACAAATCAATAGCTTCTTGATAGTTACCCTTCAACAACGCCTTGCCGATTTCATAAGTCGGAATACTGGCAACACTTCCGAATCTTTGTAAGCCATAGTAATTGACAAACCCGTTGTCTCGCAGACTGGTCATAGCTGATTCTATTTCCTCGTCGGAAGCCGTGATGTTACGCAAGGCTATTGAAAAGTGGTTGCCTTCAAGAGTTCCTAGTTTCAGCGGGTTTTTTACGAACTCAAAGTTTCCTACGAACAAACCACGAACGCGTCTTGCAGCTTCGAAAATATTCGATGGATCGATTTGTTTTACGCTCACCCACTGAGTTGTTCGAGCACGTCGATCTTTAGTTCCTGAGTAATTTAAATTATTTGCGCGAATGCGAAGATTCACAGCTAGTTGGTTCAACGCATCCATGGTGTCAATGTTCACCTTGTGTAAGATAAATTTGCAGTACGGGCCTTCACGAAGTGACCAGTTGACACGGACGTCTCGTCTTAATCCATATTCTATTGAAAAAAAAAAAAAAAAAAATTTTTTTAATAAATAATAAAAATTAAAATTATAATAATAAACAATTAAGGGGGGAAATACGTGTAGAAAGACGTTTCCATGCACAGAAAAAAAATGTTCTTAAATCAACTATATAATTTTGAAGAACTTAATATTCTTGATTTGAGTAGAAAAATTCTTGAACTAAATAAATTGTTCTTGATTTAAGGAAATTTTACTTGATTCAAGAATTTTTAGTCTTAATTCAAGACAGTTACCCTCTTCAAAATTATATTCTTGGTTCAAGAATTTTTCTCTTGAATCAAGTTAATTTTTTTTTCTGTGTGCTGATTTTTATTAATATTTTTAAGGTATGAAAATTAATGTTATTTTTCTTTATACAATTACGCTGAATATGAACTATTTTTTTTTTTTTGTAAAAATGGTAAAAAATCACGACTTATTTCAACATCCCTCTAAAAAATGCAAATTTTTACTTTTTTTTTTTTTTTGGAATTGAGGTTCATATAGAAGATACATATATCAATTCATATCGAATCGAAGATTCATATAGAAAATACATATATCGCGTTTCAGATGCCATAAGGGCACATACCGGCAAAAGGTCCTGGTGAAAAATCATAAGGACGTATAGAAAAATTTTTTTTTTCGGGAAGACATATTTTTGTCGGAAATGTGCAGAAATGCCAAAAAATATTTTATACAAATTTGATGTATATACATTAGAAATTAACTTTCTTTGATCCCTTATGGCTCCCGAGATCCACCTTGGATGCCATAAGAGCGTATAAAAAAATTTTTTTTTAGAACCGACGTATTTTTTCATGAAATGTGCAGATATGCAAAAAAAATTTTTTGTTCAAATTAAAAATTTATTTTGGACTTAGAAAAAATAATTTTTATACGCCCTTGTGGCATTTGTAACGCGATATAAAAAAAGTAATTTTTCTGTGTCATTGAGTTCAGATAAAAATTGTGGCTTCCATACTGGACACCAACTGCTAAGTCGGATGACAACCTACGATGTGTATCAGCTGATATCTCCGCTACTTGTTAAGTTATATTGGGTAGTAGCCCTGGACGGGGTGGTCGTGGTGAGTAGCATAAAATAAAAAATTTGCTATTTTCTATCAATTTGTAATATTCTCACAAATTTGATGTATATACATTAGAAATTAACGTTTTTTACGCCCTTATGGCTCCCGAGATCCACCTTGGATGCCATAAGAGCGTATAAAAAAATTTTTTTTTAGAACCGACGTATTTTTTCATGAAATGTGCAGATATGCAAAAAAAATTTTTTGTTCAAATTAAAAATTTATTTTGGACTTAGAAAAAATAATTTTTATACGCCCTTGTGGCATTTGTAACGCGATATAAAAAAAGTAATTTTTCTGTGTCATTGAGTTCAGATAAAAATTGTGGCTTCCATACTGGACACCAACTGCTAAGTCGGATGACAACCTACGATGTGTATCAGCTGATATCTCCGCTACTTGTTAAGTTATATTGTTGTTTAATACGAAAAAATCCTCATAAATATATCTATAAAATAATCTGATAGTTTCAAGAAATAATATTAATTTTTTACACCTCAAAAAAATTAATGAAAATCAGCATAACAACGACCTTCTACACGTATTTCCCCCCTTAAATAAAATTTTCTATTACTATTTTTAAATGTAGGGTCATTCTTGTCAACTTTATCACTACTGACTTTAGAGAGGATCAAAAGCTTTCTATTGTTTTTTTCAACAGTTTGAGTAATGACTTTTTGATACTTCTTGGCGATGCTGTGAATATTGCGTCGTTGATCTTTGGTGATGTCAGTTACATCAATTTCAACCAACGCACTTGAATTCTCATCGCTGTCTGTCTTACTAATAAATGCGTCTAGTTTCTCTAAAACATCTTCAGGCAGAGTTTGTCTGAGTTTCTCGACGTCGATAAAATCTTCAGGATCTGGGGGAATTTCTTGCGTCGTTAATTTCGCCACTTTTCCATCGCAATCGATCTCATGGACGTGGAAATCAGAAAAGCGTTCCTTGAAAATACCGTCAAAGTGTTGGTGATCACCCAGGTACTCGCTGATGCCAATGTCAACTTCTTTAATGCGAACAGATGATTCGTACTTTGGTCTCTTGGAATTATTTACTTCACTGTACGATCTTTTGTTGTTCCGCTTGTTGTCATGTCCTCCGCCACGACCTCCGCCGCGACGATTGTGGTTGAATCTACCTGTTGTGTTATAATAAAATTTAAGTATATATAAGCAGTCGCTTCATTATTTTAAAAATTTTCAACAATTAAATTTGTTTAAAAAAATTGCGTTTTCAATTATTTAAAATTTCTACATGTCAATTTTTTTTACTATAATTTATTTGTTAAAAAAATTCTTAAATTAAATATGATTTTTTTATGTATTAATGTTAAATGGTTAAGAAATAATTAATAATTACCTCTGCCCCCTCTTCCACGAGGAAACTTATCGCGATTTTTATAATCATTGGAAGGCATACTTTCTTTTTATGATAAAATTGACAAGTGCATATAAAACAATTGATTAATTTTATCAGTTTTTAGTTTTTTTACTGTTAGATAAATTATTTAAAGCTTTTTTAATAACTATCAAGTAGTTTGGTTATGTTTTTTACCGGTGAAAGTATTACACGCATGTGTATGTGTTTCGTTTATCCGTTTACAGTTTGATATCAATCGCGACGCGGCGCATGCTCATTTGAAAGTAAAAAAATACCGCGAAATATTTAAAACACACTGTATATTAATATTAATTTATTTTTATCAATAATTCTCCACTTTATTATCTGAGAATTTTTATAATTCATAAATGATTTGTATTTAATTAATAAAAAAAAAAAAAAATAAACAGTGAGAATTATTAATAATTTTTTATGCAAGTTTTTATTAATAATTTTAAACTGGCTGACAAAATCGTCATTCTTCTACTTTCAAAAAATTAAAAAGTCAAAATAAATTAATTTCCCAATTTCAAATTAAAAAATCACAAAACTAATCATCAGAACAATTATTAGAATTCAGTGTAATTAAAATAAAAAAATGATCTATAATCTAATAAAATAAAAATAATTATTATTATTTATTTAAAGTTTGAAAAAAATATTTATAATTTATAATGAAAATGGTGATTGTTGTAATTGTGACCAGACAGTTATCATGTAACTTAAATTTCAGAGTTGTTCTAAAGTGTATTACTGAAATTGATTATTTTTCAGTTGCCTAGCAACTAAAGTCAAAGCAGCCGCCACGCTGTGTTCATACTAAAACACCAAACCGGCAGTTTGCGAGTTAGTCTACGGATCGCGCGACACAAGGTGTAAACATGGGCCTTCCTGACATAGACAATATACCCGGTAAAAATTTATTAAATTAGTACTTTGCACTTTTTTTAACTTTTTACAATCACTCTTGCTTTTATTTACACTCTAATTTTTTTAAAATTATTCTAATTTTGTCTAGTAAAAGTAATTTGAATTCTACACCATTTATAATTTGCACAGTAAATTTCCTGTCAAATAATTATTTATGCGCTCAGAAATAATAATTATTATTAATCCAAATAAAAATATTTCTAAAGAAAAAGTAAAAATAATAGAGTAAAACTATTTAAAGATTTGCAAACTCTAAACTTTGATTTTAAAATAAATCTTTTGTGCGGAAATCAGTGGGTCGATGACCTACGACAACTCTCTGTCTAGTTAATACAGTTGTTAAAGTTTAAAAGTATTGTAAGCAAACAATTAAAGCGATATTTTAAAACCAGCAGGTGTAAGCTAGCGATAATTTACTGTTAATGATGTTCTAAATTTGTAATTTAGTTAGCTATTATTTGCGTGTACTTACATGTCGTCAGATTTACAGAATAAATGCCTGATGAATTATGCAAAAGGACATTTGAACTTTTGATAACAACTGCGAGATGGATAATAACAACAGCTAAACATAAATCTTACTCTCAACATCTGCATACATACATACACTGTCGGCTAACTAATGCATCGATGTAAATATTATTTGGAACAATCCGACTGCATTAACTGCATCTCTTACTAATATAAATTATTTATTTTTATTACTTTTAAATGATTACGTGTCGACAGCAATAACTTTTTAGGTGATAAAAACTACAAGGATTATTTATCGAGAGCAATAAAATTAAAAAAAAAGCCTAAAGCCGTAAGCTTCTATCCAACCTTGGCAATAACAGCGAGATTTTATCACTAAAACAATAGATTTGTTGATTTTTTTCAAGGGCGTCTTGGGAGGATTAAAAAAAATTAAGTCCTCATAAATATTCAGAAAGCGGGAAACAAAAAATATAATAAAACAATGACATCTTGATTCTCGATCTTTCTTGGTAAAATGTCATATTCTCAATTACCATAACGATTTTTTATTTTTATCCTCCTTCGCTATTATTAGTTTTTATTCATAAACATTAATTATTTAACTTTACTCATTTATTCTTATCATTTTATTTTTATACAATTATGGACGGTGAATAATTTAACGCGCGACAATCCATCAGAGAGTAAACCGTTAGATCATGTACAATAAATGTAATTCGTAATAATAATGACAAGTTGATGTTTTTTTTATTACTATCATTATAATCAATAAAATAAATACTAAAAATGCTCTTTGGGCCAATGACATTTTTATGGAGCAAAAATTACATGTGAGCTCGAGTTTTATTGTCTTATTACATGTGTAATTATCGATTTTATCACTCTTGATGCTGTTGATAAATACAATAATGTTTTTGTTATCTTTTACTCGTGAAATGTATGTTATTTATTTATTTATTTATTTTTTTTTAGATACCGGAGCGGTTTTTACACTGGGTCGCACTCGATTCGCTGATAACATTGCTTCGCATTTTTTCATACGAAAAGATCCGGTCGTCAGTATCACCTGCGGAGATGAACATTCTGCTGTTGTTTGTCGTAAGTTTATTAAACAATTATTTCTTTTAGTTTAAATAATGCGCTAATTAAAAATTTATTAATTTTTGCTGAAAAAAAATTTTTTTAATTAAATTTATCAACAAAAAACAAATATTGATCAACTATTAATAAATCTTGACAAATAATTTATCAATATTTGTTAAATTATCTTATATAGAAAAATTCTTCATTACAAATTAATAAAGCTTATTACATATTAGCAAATCCTTCCATCAGTGTAATTTCAGGTCAGTTGAGGTGACCTTTAATGTCCTAATTTTTACGAAAAAAAATCAAAATAATAACTTAAAAAGATAATGAACAATAATGGTGATAAAAAATAAATAACTAGAGTTTGTATTAAGATAGCTTATTTACAAAACCCGCCGTGAATGATTTATACCGTGATCAATAACTCGATGACTTTCCAAATATAAAATACTGGGTATTGCACGTGCTCACTTTAACTATTTTAATTAATTAAATTTAGGTCACTTTATTTATTAGCTTTAAAAAATTATAAATTAAATAAATATGTTATAGTTATAAATAAATATTAGAGTGACATTTGATGAGCTAAAGTCCAGTAGACAATCATGATTAATAGTAGCTGCAAGTTGCAATGTACAGGCTCATGCTCTATCAGGTAAACTCTTTGTATATATTATTTAACTCATTCTCACATAGGGTAGTCACCATTATTGTCCAGTGAATCGATACTTACACGCATCCAGACAATTATATATGTATATTGGCTATGCAAACATTGTAAATGTTTTTCTTTCCCAAGTATTATTTAGTATTTATCATTTTTCATAAATAAAATTACTAATTGTTACATTAAATTTTTTTTTCTACGAAGAAAGTGGAAGACTTTTTGTTTTTGGGAGCAACGATTGGGGTCAGTTAGGTCTCGGCCATAAGAATCACGTCAGCAAGCCTTCGTGCGTGAAAAGTTAGTAATAATCATATGAATCAAGCACGTTATTTTTTATTCATCATTCACCGAGATCTTTCCTATGTTTTAGACTTAGAAATATAATAATAATAAATCTGAAAAGTAACTCTGTAGATTAATATTCATTCTTAACAATTATAAATGTCATTACAATTATAATTATTTTTTTTTTATGACCACCAGCTTTGAAACCAGAAAAAGTAACTCATGTAGCATGCGGGAGAGCGCACACTTTAATATGTACAGGTAATCAATCTAAGTTACTTGCATTAAAATTACATTTGTACAGGAAAACCACTTAGTTTAATGATTTAATTTTTTATTTTTTATTGTAGGGGAAGAAAAGCTTCTGGCGTGTGGAAGCGATCAAGAGTCACAGCTGGGTCGTGGACAAATTTCAACCGGTGATTGTTCCACCATACCGGTAGTTATCTACGACTGTGGAAAATCTGGGCCCAAGATTCTAGAAATAGCAGCAGGGTCTCACCATTCTTTGGCGCTTACGTCCGACGGTGGTGTTTTGGCTTGGGGCAGCAATTTAGAGGGCCAACTCGGATTACCTGGGACTTCTGGGCTGATTAATAAACCGACCAAAGTCAATTTACCAGAGCCAATTAAACACATCAGCGCTGGATATTACCATTCTGCTTTTCTTTCTGGTTAGCTTTTATAATTAAATATTTATGTTGCTGGTTATCTGAAATTAAAATCTTTAATTACAGAGAGTGGAGTTATTTATATTTGCGGAGAAGCCGAGAGTGGAAAACTTGGAATTTCTTTGGACTTTAGGACTCAAATCGCGCCAAAGTCGATGCAATTACCGGTAAAAGCTGTTTCTGTTGCTTGTGGTGGTCATCATACACTTATACTCGGTGGTAAGTACATTATATTCTAAAATACAAAAGTTAGATTAGATTTAATTAAATAATTAATGTCAGTTATTGTTAACAACTTGCAGAAGATTATAATATTTATTGCACCGGGAGCAATGCAAGCGGACAATTGGGAATGGGTACCAATGTCACGGAAATTCAAACTCCTAAACAGCTTCCACGAGATATTTTCAAAGAAGAAGCGATTAAAAAAATAGTTTGTGGAGAAAGTCACGTCGCTGTTATCACAGGTACGTTCTCTTTATTAGTACAGTGGATTCTCGATAACTCGAACCTTGTTAAGTTGAAATCCTCAGTAACTTGAAAAAAATTTGTATTCCCTTCCGCTGAACTCTTAAATTCGCGATATCTCAAATTATTTAGACTCTGTAACTCGAACTTAGTATTGTTTTCCTTCCAGTATCGATAAAGGACATTTATACTCTATAACTCGAATTTTAAAAGTGAAACTCTATAAGTCGAAGTTAGTAAAATATAAAGAAGTTATTTCTCCGAACTGTCCAAGCTTATAGCAATCAAATCCGAATTCCTATAAGAACTTTCAATGCTTATTATATTCTTGTGAAGCAATTTATATTTTCTCTCTAAGTTATTTTCTTCCAAATCAAGTGTTTTCTTAATTTTTTTGGTCTACTTGCAAATTTTAAACAAGTTGTCAATACGAAAATTAATTTTTGGATTTATTCCTTAAGAATCTGGAAAACTATTCATGTGCGGTGATGGTCGTCATGGTAAATTAGGCCTAGAAGAAAATGAAAATAACGTCCATGAGTTAACTCTTGCTGTTAAATATCAAGAACTTATAGTAACAAATGTAAGTTAAAAATAAAATAGTAAATAATTTTCATTACACACTAAATAAATTATTTTTTTATCCCTTGTACGGTTTTTAGGCCAAACAATTGATTCGTTAATTAATCTTTTTAGATATTTAAAATTTTTGAAATCACAATTTATGATTAATTATTTTAGGTTGCTTGTGGAGGATGTCATACAATCCTGGTGGGTCATAAAAAAGACATGGATAATGATGATGAAAAATCTAAAATGGTATTTGTGTAAAATGTATTTAGATTGTCTGTAAAGTTATTGATAATTGTTATATCCATGCTTACAGAAAATAAATTCATTACCACCATTGAAAATTCCGAATAATCGTATGCAGAGTGAAAGTAATGTAAAAGAAGAAGATGACTCTATTAATGGAGGTACTGAAGACACTGAGCAGTTGAATGATAAAAAACTTGAAACTACTGAAGGTGATAGTAGTCTAGATAACGCTGAAAAAAAATCAGAGACACAAATAAATTCATCTGAGAATGGAACACCGTTATCGACGGATAAACCTTTGGAGATTGATGACAAATTAAGTAACGATAATATTGACTTGGACTATGATAATAACATGAAGAATGAAGAAGATAATACTGTAAATAATAATAATAATTTTAATAATAATAACAATAATAATAAAAATATAGAAGATGTAATAAAAAGTAATGAGGTAGATGCGAAAGTAGAAGCAGAAACTATCGCAGAAAGACCGACGTCTTCCAACGGGCAATTGAGTATAAATAATAAAGTAGAAGATAAGAAAGATGAAGAAAAAAGTGATGATAGTATAAAGGAAAATGGAGATGATAGTATAAAAGAAATGAGTAATGAAGAAACGATAATTAAGAAGAATTCAATTGATATGTCACCGCCTCCGAAACCACCCCGACAAAAAATAGACAGTGAAAACTCGGCGGTCATTAAAAGCAATCCTTCCTCGAGAGAAAGTAGTTCTAGTAGTAGAACTCAAAAAAATAAGGTCGAACCGAGTGTTCCAACCGAGCCGATTGCAAGTCACGATATTGATAATAATGTAAATAATGATGATGATGATGATGATAATGATGATGTTACTTCGATAGTGTCGGATAATCAAAAATCTTCGAGTATAAAAAGTAAGTCTTCAGCAAGATCTAAAGCTGATACTGACGAGACAGTCGCTATGGATGAAACTAAAATATCACAAAGTATTGCAACTTTGGAAAAAGATATAAATAATTTAAAAGATAATATCGTTGGTCAAGTTGACGAGAAGGTTGATAAGGTTGCTAAGGTTGCTGATGATATTGATAATGTTATTCGATCGCCGCCACGCGCAGGTTTGTTTTTTCTTTAAATATTTTATTGATTTCGATTTTATTCGGTTTAATAAAAGTTTTTTTTTTTTTTAATTTACAGGTAAAATAATGAATTTATTTAAAAATAAAAAACAAGTTGCAGACGAAAGCACAAATTCTTCGATTGAGCCGATAGTAAAAGCTAAAGTATGTATTTTGTATATTCACAATATATTGCTATGTGAAATATTTATTATAATAATTGTTGTATTAATTTTTCAGTCAAAAACATGCAGTATCCTGTGATGATGACCAACAAGACTAATTATTTTAAAATAATAATCATTATAATTGTTTATTTACAATAATATTTTTTATAACATGATAATTTATAAAGTCACGTAGAGTGAATGAGAAATTGGTTTATACTCACTCAACACTTGCATATATTTGGATTTACGACTCGAATAATTACCAAGTAGAGTGTTATGTAGAGTAATTGAGCTAACTCGATTAATTATAAAGATATATATATATATATATATATATATTACTTGAAAAAAGATGTGACTACTTTAGCTTTAAGAACTTCAACAGATCTGTTCGTGCATTCCGTAATATGTTAAGAGCATCTGTTATATAAATTCCAATTTCAGCACCTCTAATGGCAAGAAAAGCTAAAAAAAATTTTAATTTTTATTAGGCGCCAAAATTTCGAGTTTCAGCGCTCTTAATAGTAATAATTTTATCCGCTAGGGGCGCTGAAACTCGTTTTAATTTTTTGGCGCCGAATGAAAATTAAAAATTTTTGCTTGTCTTTTTTACCGTTAGAGGCGCTGATTTATATTACAATTGCTCGAAGCAAGTTCCTCGGAATGCTCTCAATATATTGTAACACTGTCATTATTTAATAAATAATGGGTTATTTTAAATTATTGTTTATAAAATATACCAGTCATCGGGGACCAAAGTAAGAGAGGTAACAAATTATTTTTTATCCGGCTAGATTCGTTTTATATATTTATTTATTTAATTATTTATGTTATTGAATTTCTGTTACTTTTAAAAAATCATTGAATAAATTTGTGAAATCTAAATCACTATTTCCTTGCAATAAATATTTATGCCAAGAATCACTTTTCAAACATGTAAATGTATGTACGTACATCTGCATGACCCACATATAATGTATATATGTATATAATATTGCCACAAGCATGCGCAGTTTACTAGCGCCGAGGAGCGCAACATAAATACAAGTACCGTTGGTTGTTGAACATGTAAATAAATTTATTTATTGTATAAGGAGTGACATGTTTCTAATCAAATAGTATTTATTTGTTTTATTTATTTATAGAAATATTTATTTTATTTTATTTATTATTGATCAATGTAATAGTACGATTGTTGTCTATCGATTTTGTAACAAGTGACAGTGTTAAGGTTATTGTCGCTGTCAAAGTTTGTAAACAAAAAATTATGAACTTGATTTCATTGTTATGGTCATCTCGTAATTTAAAAAGAAAAAAACAATGATTATTAATTAAATATTGGCTTGCAGATGAAAATATCGTCCCGGAGAGAAGTTGTCATCTCCAAAAGTTGATGTTAAAGCTGAAAAAAATCTCAAGACAGTTGAAGTAAATAAAAAAGCTACTTAACCACTAACACAATTTAAAGTTGATCAAGTTCATAATACAGTTATTTATTTTTTCAGATTTCCATTAAATATTTATTAAAAAATTTTGCTTGGATTAATGATGACAATAAAAAAGAACTTTATTGTTTAATTCAAAAGGTGCTGTTTATCCAAATATTTAGACCAAAATGAGTGAGTTTAATACAAAATAGTTTTTTTTTTCTTTTTTTAATCCAATTAAGTTAATATTATTTATTTTTTCTATTATTATTATTTTTACATTTGCAATATTAATATAAATGGTGATTAAAATGGAACAATATTTACAGATGAAGCATTAAATAATATTAGAATAATTAAATAATATTAATATTTATAAATAATTAATTTTAGTGATTAATAAATTACTATAAAATATAAAATAAAAAGATGAAATATTTAGTTTGTTAAAAAAATAACCACCGAAACAGTTTTAAAAACCGTTTCTAGTTTTTATATCGATTAACTAGTATCGGAGAGAGCAGTTATCTTTAATAGACTGTCAAGCATATAATTATGAAATATTGACAAATATTTAAACGGATTATTTTATTATAATTTATAAGTATCTCGTTTATTGACATTCTTAAAAATTACCTAGTAATTTAATAAGAATTCAGGTTTTTATTAAAACTTCTTCGTGAGCTATGTCGTTGAAGCTATTATGATATTGCGAGTCTGCCAGGAATTGAGGATTGGTATCAATAGAGCCATCTCTTAAAAATGCACCATGCTCGTAACCTTGTGGTATTCTTTGAGTTATCTTAGGTGTGTCATCGCGTTGGCGAATTCTGTTTAACTGGTGGCGAGTTCTATCAGCTGGTCTCGGGTGTCTTGATCTCGATCTGTATCATAAAACATGAAATTACTTTGTCAATATTTATTAAACATATAAATAAAAAACAAACTACTAACACAGGAGGTCTTGAGCCAGGATTAACACCGTGTACCCATTCTTCATTATTATTATTATTCTTATTATTTCTATTATTATCGTCATCGTTATAATTTTTTACATCCAATTTACTTCTCCACTCTTCTCGGACTCTGTTATGCCGATGAGATTCCGGATAACCCTTTTCTCTCTCGTTATGCTTTTTACCTTTCCTCTTCGGTTTAGTTATTTGGTTCTGTTCCACCAGATTATTATCTTTTATTTTCTTCCTTCTGTGTCCTAAAACATGAAAGTTTAGCTTTAACTTTAACTGAACCTCGCTGGTTATATTATTTAAATAGTCGTTAAAAAAAAAAAAAAATTCTTCCTGCCTATTCGTCCCGCGGGTACTTGGCATATGTAATGCTTCTTTTTAACGCAACTTCGGGGACTCCATTTATATTTAATAGCTGGATCTAATACTATGCAATGCCAAGCGTATGCCTTTGAATTGCTTTGATTTAAATTGTGGAAATTTTGAAAGACCACTTTTTCACCCGATACACCCCATTCCCATGTCATCTGTTGCCAATTGTAGATCCCACCGATCCACCTCTCGAGCTTTGCTGTGTTAAAATAATTATTAATTATTGTTGAATAAAAACCTTGAAAATATTTTTAAAAATAGCGCTTAAACTTACTAAACTGATCGCCCATTAAATACTTTCTGAGAATTCGATTTTTTCCCTTTTTGTCAAGAATAGCCAGGGTGGAATTTCTATCTTTACAATGAAAATGCGCTTCTCGCCAAGGTGCCATACCAGCGCTTAAATAGTAACAGTTCCTTTTTAACCGGAAGAAACCAATGGGACAAGCAAAACGGCGAACGCTTAATTCTTTTTTCACTTCATTCTTGACATGATTGTTTTCGGGTAAATTTATACTTACGCTCTGCGGTCCTACTGCAGAGCTACTCAATGATAGACCTTGATACAAAAATTTAATTAAACTGTTTATTCTATATTTTATCAATTAATATTAAATTATTCTAAAGCATACTCTATACATAAAAAAATTATTGTTTAAATTGTCAACCGTTGCGAATGAGTGATTTTAATGACGGCCTTGAACAGATGATGCATGTATATCACATCATATGTCCAGTGAGCAGTTATGCATCACTTGTCAATGGATTTTGATTAAATTTCAATACGATATATATTATGCCAGATCAATAACCTGAAGGGAGATGATTTTATTCCATAAATAGTTTTTATTTTTGATAAAAACATTAATTTCTTAAATTTTGTATTCTAACACTGTACATTGTTTTTTTTTTTTTTGGAAAAATTACATAAGTAAAAAAACATAGATGAAATGTGACCTGTCACGTTAAGAGGCTTTTGTTGAAATATGAATATTTAAGATAACTACTATTTCACTATATCTTTTGTTACAGGATATAGTATGAGGTGACGGTTTTTATCTATGCGATTAATATTTGTTCAACTGTCTCCTTTATTCACGTTTCTTATTATTTTCCTCTTTAATTTATGCACAAGCTTATTTTTCTCACCTCCTATTATAAATTCAAATTTATCCAATTATAGTAAAATAATAGCCGCAATTATATTGATTGAGTTATTTCTTATCATCAGAAACAAAAAAAAAAAACATTGATAAGTTACATGAATCGTAAATTGTTATGTCACAACTTGAGTAATAAAATTTATTTAGCAATTTCCACGTCAGGTCCATCTGATTTATGAGAGTTTCCTGGTTAATGTCTTAATTATCAAACCGGGATTCGTAATTTTATGACGCGAATACTTAAAGATTCTCCTGTTGCAAATTTCAGTTTACTGAAGTTCAATAAATAATTATAATTAAATATTTATAATTGATAAAATTTTAAGTGACATCATTATCAGAAACATCTGTCATTCGGTTAATAATGATAATAATTCTATAACTAAAAAGTATAAGAAAAAAAAATATAAATAATAAAACTATTGTTTGATTATCATATCTATAAATTCTTATCTCAAAACTATTTTCATCTCTTTTATTCCCAGTAAAAGATTTAATTGAACACTGATTATCATTGCTATACAGGTATTATCAGCAAAGCAATATCATCAATCATCACTATTTTAATTTAAAAAATAAATTGAATGAAAATAAACTGAAAGCGTACCTGTTGAACATAATAGTAAAATCCAACACTTCCACATGGTTAAAATTGATAAAATATTTAAAACTAAATATTTAACAATTTAAATTTATTTCACCGGAGATAAAACTTGCATAAAATTATCGTCATTATTGTCGGTTAAATAATTTACAAAAATTACGATAATTTTAGATATCTGAGTTACGATAAATTATAAATGGTAATAGGTCTTAATATTATCTTATTACTAATTATATTGGCAATATAATTTTATAAACAGACTTGTAGATCGAATTTATAAACACCAGTCTACGGTGGAAGTTCGCAACAGACTGAGTAAAACTTAAGCTGTGTCGGCTACTTCCACTATGTACTGGTTAGGTGTCGTTATATTAAACATAGGTACATCCATGTGTTTGAGTACATATGTATAATAACAGTATGCCAGACCAGACCATAGTTTGTTATTATAAATAACACCATAAATTCTATAAATTCGCTAATGTCCAATTTTTTTACAGTCATTTTATTTTTAATTATACTGTCAAAATTTGCCCTCATTTCTTCATTTCAATTTAATTTATTTTAATTCGACAAGCTTTAATTTTTTAATTAAAATAATTTTTTTAGATTGTGAATGTTTTAGAAATTTTATTTAAGAATATTCATACTAAAATTCTGTTTATACAAAGTAAGCAAATATCTGGGAGAGTTTTCAGTAAAATAATTATTATCGGTAATAATAAATCAAAAATTCGCGAATAATCTTGATTTATGATCGTGTGCGGTCTCGCCCGTTTACATTTAGTTTGGTGTGTACTTTCATGTACACACTGGCAATTGGCAATGTTTAACGAAATTGTAATAAGTCATGTGTGTCCTTCATTATTAATTGTTTTTTGATATGTTTTATTACGTATCGTAGATATGCTACCAATAAGTTACATATTGTAATACGTAGAAATGGAAAATTGATTTGTAAAAAGTTTATTTTTAATTTTTACACCAGTATTCAACGCGGGGTTTATAGTAAAACATTTGTTTATTAATTGCTACTTGCTCTAAATTTTTTCAATCCCTCTCGTTTTTTTTTTAACTCTCTTTTATACAAAATTCTATTGAATTCTATTTTTGTAAATTGTTTATTGCTCGCATGACATCGTTTCGAATTCGCGGTTGTCTATTTTGAGATAATCCAAGAAATTTTCACATTAATAATAAATAGAAGATCAATAAAATTACATAAAGTCCAATTAATAATTGCAAAAAAAATTAATATCATTTGATACAGCTAAAGTAAATAATGGAGTTTAAAATAGAACTTTACACGCAAAGAATTTACATTTGCAAGTTTAACGACTGCAAATTTAAACTTCCGCTTTTGAATTTTTTCATATTAATGATTATATTTAGACCTTAGTTATTGATACTCAGGGGTCGTAAAATTTTGTGAAAATATTCTTATTGTATTTCAATGGATCTTTTATTTACTCACAACTTGTCAGTTAAGTGTGTCCATGCTGATATGTTTCCAATTGGCACCTGTCCATTAATTTGCACTTTACTTCTCAATTCTCAATGATATAATTTGAAAGTGGGTTTATGCAAAACTTTTCTTTAGTTCAAATGTTTTAAGTATGCATCATATACAACAATTATTAGTATTAATTTAATCCAAATGAACTGGTTATATTAACGAGATTATTACGCCCATCAATAACATAATATTGTTCACTGGTACAAGGAGTTTTTAATATTTAATAAGTTTGATTGAACGTTTAAAAATAATTGCTTACAATTTTATTAATTGACTGCAACAATTTATTCGCTTATCGATCAATTAGATTGTATAAATGATAAGAAAAATAAGTTATGCAGTAAACTTGTAATTGAACGGAATGAACGTGTTAAACGAGTTAAATTTAGGAATAATTGTCGTAAATTTGGATTCCCTGGAGGGTAAGTTAGCAATAAACGCTCCAGGGAGTAGAGTTGAGATGTTGTTTATTAAAAGCCAGGTCAGAGGGAATGTCATAATGAAGCTTGAAACTTGAAGTGGGTCATCAATATGACTACTCGTCAGTCATAATATGAATACGTCAGTTGATATAAATAAATTAAAACTCATATCATATGCACCGTTCATGATTAATACCGATACTCATACCCATAATACCTCTCTGCATATAATACCAATAAGAATAAATGTAGGTAACATAAGTACGCGGTACGGTAATTTAAACTCGGGTCTTATAAGGAGTTCGCCAGCTTTTATGTATCTACATGCAAGAAAAAAATAAAAATAAAAAAAACACACCAGATCTCGTTGTGTTTTTGGAGGTATCAAATTAACCGTGAAAATAACAAATCAAATTGGTCATGCGGTCATTAAAGAAAAAATAAAATGATAGTAAAAATGTTAACAGCAGCAGCAGACAGACAAGTCACGACCTTTTGTCTCTTCTTCCATCCGCAAAACTTACTCGAAAATAAAACCGGTTAGTCAACAAACGGTGAGAGTAAGTGAATAAAGAAGTATAAGAGCACCACTGCTTGAAATCACCACCGATGTCCACCAGAACATTCAAAATCGCTGTTTATGACTGCCGGGACCTTTTTTTGGATTCGGCATGACATAACGATGAGTCAGGCCTTGCGAAATTTTTATCCCATTGTCCTTAATATTTTACGATTTACTTTTTTCATTCTGATTGCATGAGTAAATTTGAACAGTATTATAGCAAAGTGGTAAACACAAATAGAAATATGCAATGCATGATAAATAAATCATTGGTATTTAAAAAAAATAAAAACGAAAAAAAAAAAAATTTATGCTAGAAACTACAGAGTTACCATTGACACTCTTATACTACCGTCAGCTTTCTCGGAAGGATCATATCTATCTTCATTTTATGTGCGGTTTTAATTAGACCTCTAACAAAGCTATAATTATCTAGATTGTATTAGAAAAAATAAGGAATACTTTGAAAAGCATTGTCAAAAATAATTTTATTTATTTATTCATTTAAAATGTCAATCTTATTCTCGCGATTTGCCTTAATTGATTTCGATACATCGGAATTCATTGATCAACAGTGATTGACGATCGATTGAACCATCAATCATCGACACACAAAACACACCACCAATTATTATATTAAAATTTATTAACACATTTTGTTTTTATAAATCAACTTCAGTCATTATCTTGAATATTTATTTTTTATTTTATTCAACCGGTATAATATAAAAAAAAAAAAAAGAAATACTCGCAGAAATTGCCTGCAATCTTTTGATATTTTTATTAAGTATATCGTGATTAAATAAAACTAGAATTATCGAACAGAACATTCTTACAGATTATCCGCGTATTATAATAATAACAGTAATAAAATGGACTAACCGAATTGGGCAATAACGGCTTTATTAAAAACAGAGCAGTGGATTTTATTTAATTCTCGCAAATTTTTCATCACCTACGCTTTCAGATATTTTTGGATACATCTGTTTAATTTATAAATAATGAAAGTTTTTTTCAGAGTAACAGAACATTGCGTAAACTGTCTTTAAATAAATTTACAATGGCTAAATTCTAAAAAAATTGACAAATAATTATATATTTTGTCATACGGTGAAATATAACCAGCTGCAGATATTTAAATCGACATAAAAATATTTTTTATTTTTTTTCCCCCGGGGCATATTGTGACAACTTGTATACGTCATGTCTTAAATTTTATTGGGTATTATAACCCATAAAAAATTTCCTTTTGACGACAACGACAACAAAAAATGACATCGAGGCTAATACGAGGCAACTATATACGTTGAATTTTTGTTATCATAAATCTAAGACATTACGCAAGTGTGTATGCTCGTACATAAGTAGTGAAGGCGGTAGAGTAGCTTTGAAGCAAGAAATTCCCTGATGTAAGTAAAGAAATTACCCGATTCCTACTGCGTCGCTAAATTCCTTGGGTGGTCGTCTCTATTTAACTCCACTCGACAAAACTCATTACATTTTATCAAATTAATCTTTATTATCAATCTAATTTCATGTACAACATGTATATTTTTAGATATTAACTCGGTTATACTTATACATATTATTGTACCCTTAATTCTCAGCGCGGTATTTACGAATTGATAGATCAGAAAGCTGAATAATTTAAGACTCGCTCGTTGGTGGTATATGGTATATTTTAAAACATTAAAACAAGCATTAATGCTCTACTAGTATATATCCGCTAAAAGCGCCTACTTTCATACACTCTTTGAATCCTCATCTATGCTGCTCTCGGGAAAATAATTACTGTAATTTAAAGTACGCTTGGGGATGATCATACGGGTGGTCTCAGTGATTCATTCCTTTCACTATGTATCTGTACATAAATATCTATATATTCCTATCCCATACTGTTTGCTTTTACCCATCATATTTATCTGTGATTCCCAGTGATAACATTCAAACAACTATTTCTGTTTTTATTAGTGTGCAAGCTACTTATAGCGTATTACTCTTATAGTGATCACATTGATCATCATGACCACAAATAGCTTTTCGATGATCTGTTTTATTATTATATCATAAATGGTATGAGACAATGACGATCCGATAATTTGCTATCATAATTATAAACAATCAGTCTCAAGCATTATTCGTTTTCTCGGTAATAAATTAACTGTGACATTTTGTAATACATGACAAGAGATATGTTTAGATTCTTAGATAGCAAATACTTTGATTCGTCATGTCTATAATAATCGTTGACTATATCTAATAATAAAAAATAACACCCAACGTTAAGATTATTGAGTATAAAGAGTGCCAAAGCTAAGATTTATCTATTTTATTATTATTGCCCTTGGTATTCATTTCTTTTAAGATTACTTACACTATCTATGAATTATTAATAGAAATATACAAAGATCATTACTTTCTTCTTATTAATAATTGATAACATTTTATAATCAATGCTGTTTCTATTGAAAGGATTAAGATCGTAAACAAACAAATGATCAGATTACCCAACAAGCTTTGCAAAAAGTTTTATTGAGTAT